ATCCCTTTATTTGTGCCATGCAGTTTTATTTCTCCAATTTTTAACAGGGGACATAAGAAATATTAATTAAAGAGGTAAGAAACTAGTAATTAACTCAAGTTCCATTTATTTTATTCTTTTACCTATCTAATGATTTCTTGGCTGTATCTTTCTCATCATGCTGTGATAAATAGAAAGTGTTTAATTGAGGAAACTAGGGATAGCAACTAACATTTCTGCTCAGTAGACAGGGAAGAAACTCACTATTCACATTGTATCCATTTAGGAAACAAATCAATTTTAAATAATCATTTTATTTCCCTCCCATCCAGTATTGAGAACTGCTGTACATCAAATTAGACGGTTTCACTATCAAACACCTTTGCATTGTTTCTCTTTGCCTTACAAAGCTGATGAGACTCAGGATCATATTATTTCACTTTATTTTAACATTGTGAGTTCAGAGAATTCCATTCTTGATTGAAATATAAAAGAAGCAAAACCTGCAACTCAAGGAAATCTTGACTTCTTATGGGAAAATAGAGAAGAGGCTATCACAAAACTTAAGATATTCATATGATGTTAAAAGCCAAACGTAAAATATTGAGAAGAGTTTTTAATCAATTCAATGCTCTGAAACATTTTTAATAGGACAAAAATCAGATGAAAGATTCAGCATCTTCAGGACAGGGTTCATCCTGATTTACAGACCTAATGACTTTGATCTCCAATTATCCTTACTGCACATTTTAATTTTCTGGCTAAAATACGCTGTGAAAAATCAAATAGCATGTCTATTTTGTGAAATGATGCATAAAATCTGCATGTGTATAAAAACAGGTGCAGGAAAATTCAGATTCAAAGTCAGAACATTAACCTTGTGTTAAGCAAAGGTTTCTGCACTTGGAGAGAATTAAAAAGCTTAACTCGGGTCGTCATGGGTTTTCCATGTAAAAATGAAAGGTCGCCAAGATTCTAAAAAGTGAATACAGACACATCAAAACCAGCAGTTTCACCAAATTTACAACATGATGTATTTGAAAATATGTCATTGAATCAGTATAATTCTTATGTGAATTTATTTTAAATAACCATAAATAAAATACTGTTAACTGTTAAATTTAATAGTTTTAAACCACTCATTCCTTCTGCTATAAGTACCACCCATTTTTGAATGTTTTCTACAGGTTGATATGCAAGTAGTAAAGTTTTATGTAATTATTTAATAAGTATTTTTTAATATATTGACAAATCCCAATATTGGATTGGTTTTTATAAAGGCACCAGCAGGGAGATCCAAAATATACCTGGTGGCTTTTCTGGATTCTCGCACTCCAACATTCAGAACTTAAAATCTCTGGTGGGGACAATCACAGGCCTCCAGTACTCTGCATAGTGATGTCAGCATCTCCTATCTTGAACAGTCAGTCAATACCTGTATGTCATGTGATTATCAGCCAAGAGGAGTCCTCATTCAAGAGAAGTTATGTTCCCACGAAAGAATACATATGTTAGTCACCCATCCTTATTATTAGGTTTAATTCAGTTTTGCATTCAGTGGATTTGAGGTATTAAATGCACTTAAGCATAAAATAAGCAGATCAGCAGCATTTTGTAGATATTAAAAGAACTGGAAAATTTGCAAATCTACATGACAGGTGCATGGTGATTTATCCATTTAGTTTATCTTCTTGTCTTCATTGTTGTATATGAAACATACCGTGACATATATATCAAGTGTGATATTATCCATTCAAAGATATTACTGTCCACCGAGAATTCCTAGAGAGGTTAAACAATAGGGCAACCAATTTTAATGATAATCTTGGAGTGCCAAATTTGAACTAATGAACACAAAATTACATATGGTAACAAATAAATTTACTATCCAAACACGAAAAGGTGAATTTTATCGTAAGTGATATGTGCAAACTATGCACCACGTTAAAGAAAAACAGCATTCATTGTGTCAATACATTTTCTTATTGAACAATTTGTCAACTGAATTCAAAGTAATGATCCTTTAATATTATTTTATTTTTTTGTACATGTATCTTCATGTGGTGTGTGTGTGTGTGTGTGTGTGTGGACATGCATGTATGTGTGCATGGCTGTGTGCTGAGACCAGAGGTTGATAGTGAGTGTCTTCTCTCCCTCAGTCTTGTCTGTGTTTACCTAGAAAAGGTCTCTGGCTCAACCCAGACCTCTTTGATTCAGCTGGTTTCTCAACCTGCCTACTCGGCAACCCCCGAACTCAGCTGTTCATGTTGTGGTGATCTCCCCATCCAGAAAATTATTTTTGTTGCTACTTCATAACTGTAATTTTGCTACTGCTTGTACAGCTGTCAAAGGGGTTGTGATGCACAGGTTGAGAATCACTGAGTTAGACTATTTGGCCTGGCAATACCCTTGTCTGTTTTTAAGAGCTGAGATTACAGGTAGACCACCAAACCCACCTGCCACATATGTCCTTGTTTGGCAAGTTCTTCACAAGGCATGTTGATCATGTTTCCCATATTCAAGATTGCTGTAATTCTTTAGTTTTTCTATCACAATTTACTTTATCTCCATTTACTTGATATTTTCTCTTGTTAATATTTTAACACATAAGAGATTGATTGGCCTACTAAAAAGGACATGGCAAGGAATATCCATTTAGACTATAAAGGCTGCTCCAACTGCTGGCAGAAGTTGTAGTCGACCAGATTTTCTGGCTATTTGAAGGTCCAAATTATTTTATTCTTGAGAATATGGTTATCTTGAAGAGAATAAGCAGATTTACTGTAATTGTTTTTTCAAAATTAATTTTGGAAGACTACAAATCCTTTACTAGGAAAGGTAACAATTCAGGTGTTTATGGGGGTGCATATAATTCAATGGAACATACATGTACGATGAGTTTTAGTTTTTCTGTATGTAACTCATTGTAACTGTTAAATATCTAGGCCCATGTGTGTATGGGTAAGTCAGAATGGTGTAGTGTAGTCATAAAACAGTCTATGATTTTGAAGGACTGACTTAGAAAGACTCTTAATACAAAAGTATTTTCATAAGATGTTAGAAATCAATCATTTAGGGAAGCCTCAATATTAAATGACATTTTGTAATCTAGAGTGTAGGAAGAGTTGATATTAATAAATCATGTGCTCATGTAACTCTGTATTTTATCACAACAGAAGAAAGCATTTCTCTTAACTCAAATTAGGAAATTATTGTACATTTTATATATATATATATATTTATATTTATATAAAAGTTACAAGTAGCAAGCATATGGCACAAAGAAATGGAAGAGTTACAGCAATATTTGAGGATGCATGCTTTTTACAATGTGTCTAATAAAGACGGCAATTTTTTCCAACCTAAATATCCAGTACTGACATGCAGGGGATTTTCTCAAACGGTCGATTCAGTCATATTGCTAAGTGCTTAATCAAACAAAATTCTGTTGTAGGGTATGAATGGCAAAATACCTGATTTCAAAAAGTCATTTATGAAACTCGGTATCTTCCCTTAATGAAAACAAAAAGGAAATCAGGGGTACATAGAAGTGATAAGGGGAAGAGAAAAAGAGAGAAAGAGGGAAGGGGGATATTTATATTATTGCAATCTAGATTTTACTCATTATGTTTACTGCACTTAATTATAATGGAAAAAAAACAGGTGTATACAGTCCACTGAACCTCTAGCTGGTGTTTCCATGATCCACATTTCCATTTTTCATGGCAGCATGTTCAAAATCACGCAGGAATGCACTATTCTCAAGCAGTCTATGTAATGAAAACAATGTACATGTAACACAAGGGTCACCGAAATGTTGTGGTTTTTTTTTTTTTTTCTCACAGATCACACAGGTACAATCATGTAACACATACATGAACAACATACAAATGGAAGTGAGACTGACGGTAAAAGTAAAGCTGGGGTAGTCTTAATCAGGAACTAATTTCTTCTTCAAGTTTCCATAAATCTCAGAATGTATTTAAAACCTAAGGAGCACTTGGTGATCAGCAACCAAATTAGGGAAATGGACATATCATTGTTCAGCAGCAGGGATGTCTTGCCGAAGGAATAACGCATGTCTGTAGTAACTCTTAAGTTTGGGAAAAGGCAGTGGAATGAATTTAGAAATATGTCCACTTTTCACAATTCACTACAGAATTCTCTTTTCACAGTCCCCGTGTTTGTATAAATAGTTCTCTGAAAATAAAGCACAGTTAAAACATTTTTCTCCCAATGGAAAAGATGCAACAAACACACCAGCTTATTAAGGTCATACAGAGAGCATGGGATGCATTCTCCTAATTCAAGAACAGTTGATAGGCTCGAAGAGTTTTGAGGAGATTAGCTGTGAAGCAAATTTAATTGGAGAAGGGTTAGAGTAAAATAAACTCAGACTGCCGTGTGAAGATGTAAAGCCTTTGAAAATGCACATGTGGACAACTGAAGGCTATGAGGTCTTTAAAACATGAAACACTCAAATTTTATTTTATAAAATTTCATCAACATGCCACATTTAAGTTTAATAATATAAGTTAAGCATTCATGCAAAAATAAGACCACACAAATTGTATAAATAGCACCAAATACGTGGTGTTGCATTTGAATAGAATGTAGCAAAATTATGTCAGTAATTGCAAATCAAATGCATTCACTTCAGTTACTTTAAGAGTGAATATTGTTTATTTAAAAAAAAAAACATGGGTTTGCTGAGCTAGTCTTTGGAAGAAAGTTCATTGCTTTTTATTATCTTTGTCTTACAATGTAAATACTAGCTTATTCTGTTGTTGAATAATGCCTAATGAAAGAATATTAAAATTTGATATAAAACTATGTATCTTAACAATAATCACTCCATTATCATCACATTCATTATGCTTCTAAATATGAAATGCCATGAAATAGGTAGCTTAAAAGCAATGAATAAATAACACATCATTTAAAATACTGTAAGACAGTTGCAACAAAACAGAACAAAATAGAACATGACAAAAGGCATTGGCTTACCTTGAGTTTTCGTTTTAGACCCTAGTTGTGTTGTATTCAGATTCATGTTTGCTTAGAGACCCAATGAGGCAGAACCTGGAATGTTATGGCTATTTCATTCAACAAAGTAATATTTGCACAAAATATAAATACATATATTTACTCAAAAAGCATCCCTAAAGTTAATAAAGCAATGAAAATAGTGGTATTTTATTAGCATGCATGAACATAATAAGTCAACTTAGATATTTTATATTTTATGAATAATATTTATAACTATAGAGTTAAAGAAATTATAATAAACATGAAATAACAGCATAATTCAACTAGTTGTTGAAATTTCAAAAACAAACCATTACTAAATCCAAATTTTCTGCTCAAATATTTTTACTCATTTTAGAAATATTAACATATAACACATTTGATATATGTTTAAATAAAAAGTAAATTAAATGTCTCCCAATATTTTCTATATTTAAATATAATTTTTTAGCATTTTATCATTCAATGTTATAAAATATAACTATAATCTAAATATATGGGGAAAATATACTTTTATTTTCTTACCAAAATAAATATTCTATTTCAAAATATTTTATTTTGAATTAAAAACATTCAATAAGATGGTATAGTTATCTTGGTAAGGCAATAGATTTAGAATATTATTTTTTTCTGTCTAAACTATAATATTGATGAGAGCAACAACTATCATTCTGTGAAAGCAAATTAGTTGCACAAATCTCTATTATAAATGAAGTGCCCTGTTTTCTGTAGAAATAGTTTTTTATATATACAGAAATAAAATATCTTTGGTCTGTGTGTACATGTGTCGTCACACACATGTACATTTCATGCACATGTATGGAATATAAAACGAAAAGACTAGCGCTAGGAAGAGAAAGAAGGGGAGATGAGGACATTGGTTTCAACTATCATTCACAGGGGAGTTGAGCATGAAGACAGACTAGAACACAATGCTGTGGAAGCATTTCCGTCTTCAGTTAACGGTTGCCATCAAATATCTATGGATACTGACCGCTGGACGGATTTCTCATGTCTGGATAGCCTGTGGCTTGTGGTGGGCACCTCCTCAATCTCGTCGATGTCACAGGCGTCTGCAGCATCTTGCGAGTAGTTGTGTTTCATGACCAGGATGTTCCTCCTGTTCACGGGTGGGATGAGGGGCTTGACTGGCTGGGTGGGTATCTCTGCCAAGATGGAAGTGTCCCTTGTGCTGAGGTTACTGCGGCTGCCTTTTGCACTGGACAGTTGGGATCCACAGTGATGGTCATGAATGCATTTGGAAGATGATCTACGCAGTTTGTGATAATTATCAAAGTCATCTGCAAAGTCAGCCGTTGCTCCGGTTCCTCTGAGCGTACATAACTCATAGTGAGGAGGCTCAAACACCTCCTGGAAAACGGTCTGGTCAAAGTCTGACTTCCTTTGGACATATTTTTTACGAGGTTGTTTGATCTGTACAATGACAGAGATGATAATAAGGATGATCACAATGCAGGAAGTCACGCCAATGACTGTCCCACTGGTGTTGGTCAGCTGATCCAGCAGGCTGGTTTTCCTCTTTTCTGTAGGTAGGAGAGAGTGAAAACGACAGACAAGAGGAGAAACAACCCACTGCATGTTAATATTGTCTTTAAAATGAAAATCCAAAACTAAAGCAAAATAGGCTGAGTGTACAATTTTCACAGCCCTAAAAAATAGCACAACAGTGCTTCATAAAAAAAATTCTGTTTTCTCCAGACTGATGGCTGGGAGGCCAGCATGGAACTGACCCAGATCCCCTGAACATGGGTTTCAGTGAGGAGACCTCGATAATCTATGAGGCCTCTGGTAGTAGATCAGTATTTATCCCTAGTGTACAAATGGAATTTGGAAGCCTATTCCACATGGAGGGATGCTCTCTCAGCCTGGGCACATGGGGGAGGGCCTAGGCCTTACCCTGGATGATATGACAGACTTTGGGGATCCCTCATGGAGGGCCTCACCCTCCCACCCTGGATGGTATGACAGACTTTGGGGATCCCTCATGGAGGGCCTCACCCTCCCTGGGAAGCCAGGGGGAATAGGATGCCGGTGGGGAAAGAAGGGAGGGACAGGGAGAGGGAGCTGAGATTGACATGTGAAGCAGGCTTGATCCTAATTTAAATGAAAAGATATAAAATAAAAATAAGTAAATAAAATTTTAAAATTAAAAAAAAATGTTTCGCAAGTGCTCTATTTTCCACACATAAAGGTAGCTATCTTTTGTTCATTCCCTACTTTTAATGTATACATGTATATATTTTTGTGTATGTGTGTGCAAATGCAGATACATGCTTAAATTTTCATAAATATATAAAATGGCATTTGTGAGTGATGTGATAATTTCCTGAACTATAACTTGTTGTCTCCTCTTAGTCATAAGAGAATCTTTCACTTCCAAACCAGACATGAATACACCTGCCTTTCTCTCTATTACTGCTTAACAGGGAAAAGTGAAGTTTTAGGAACTGCAGCATTTTGATACCCAGAATAAATCAACAAAATCACAGCAGACATTTGGAATGGAAGCATAAGTTGCACACATTTTCCCCAAACAAACATTGTCATAGAAATTGACCACTAAAATTGGGGTATAATGAAGGCGTGGAAAGTTTTCTCTTAGTTGGTAGCCAAAGGGCACATTTGGGAAAGGATCACTCAAGCATGGGAGAGAGGCTGTGCTCAGGAGAGAATATCTGCATGTACAGAAGCTTGAAAGAATAATTGCAAATAGTGATTCTTATAGATGTACTAAAGTAATTAATCCATATCCCTAAGAATAAAACAAAATGTCTGAGAATTCTTCATGAAGAGTGATCATCCATGGCATTTAAGCAACGACTCCCTCCCTCTTCCAAAACATAAGCTGTATTTCAGGGAAGTTGAAGTTAAAACCACAAGGCTCCATCTGCAAAGTTGAAGATTGAGGAATAAAAATTCTGGGAAAAATAATGCAGAAAAGTGAACATAGTACCAGAAAAATGTGTCAAATAATCCAAATAGTTTCCAATGGACAAACTCTTCTTACTACCCAATTGGGTCAACAGATACTGTACAGAGTTTCTCTGCTTCTCTTTGTAGAAAGTATTTTGATAGATTATCCTAAAATTTAAGTGGGAAAGTGTTCCTTTTTAATCTTCCTTTGAATTGGGTTTAACATTAGGCCTTATTAATGGATTGTTTTTTCATGTTAACCAAAATGGAGCATAATCCATCCAATGAGCCCTCTTTAAATAACCATACATTGGTTGTGGACTAGCCCACAGAACAACTATTTCATAGGACAGAAAAAAAATAATTTCTCAACAAAGTAGAAGTGGCTTCAATTGAAAACAAAAAGATTCTTCCAAATATTATACTTCTAGACTGTGCAAAAAGAAAGTGCTTTGGAGAAAGCTTGACCAAAAGAAAATAGAATAGAAGAAATGTAACAGGGTACAAAGGTGTCATGGAGAAGTGAAGCTCTCCACTACTAGCTACTCTTTTCTCCCTTTGGTCCTGCAAGTTCTCTGAGGTACCTTTTGTGAGTGTTCTAGAATGTAAGCAGAGTCCTCTGTCAATATGAATGAGGCACACTCCAGGCACACTGCTGAGTGAAGACGGAGACTATTTTACAAACTGACTACAAGGTATATGCAAAGGCCAACAAAACCACACCCTCTGTCTTCTAAACCTAATGCAGATATAGCTCCTTCCCACTCTAGAGGTCTCTTTCCATTACCTTTACAGTGATTTTCATCCCAGGGGTACACACAGTTCTGGAGCCCATTGCAGACAAGCGTGTTGTTAATACACATGTTACTGTGGCAGAAGAATGTGTTGCCTTCACAAGGAGCTAAGGGTAGAAAAGAGAGAGGGGGAGAGATTCAGAGAGAGCGTGACAAAGAAAGTAATATCCAATTCTCTTGGGCTCAGCATGGTCACTAATATTCTGAACGTGACAGAAATCAGGATGTGCCTTTAATAAGACATGTCACTGGATTCTCAGAAAGGCTGCCACAGTGATCATTATTCCTAGTGACTGGAGACTCAGATTGTCAGAAGGACACAGTGTCTCCACTCTCATCAGTACAAGTAACTTAGAAACGTTCAAGTACTTTCCCTGGGAATAAGCATGCTCTACACAGTGGTTCTACACACATAAATTTAGATTTACTATACAAAAGCATTAATCAGAGCAGGTATATTTAAAAAATATGTATGACCAGTACTATTGAGAAAAAAATATATTTAAAAAACCCATAACCACACTTTAGCATGTGTAAAATAAAGGCTGCAGAAATTCAGAATCAACAGAAAATTGATCTTCAACCATCTCAAGGAAATAAGAGAATGCACATTCTTTTCATCCACACACACACACACACACACACACACACACACACACACACACACACACACACACACCGGGTGGGTGGGGGGACTATCTCCAGTATGTACGTGATTTACACAGTCTAGTAACACTGTAATGACTAATTTCCAGAATACAATGCACATTAGAACTTCAAAGTGGTATAAAATGTGAATAGAGAATTATGGAGACATGTGAGGAGCAATGAGAGCAAATAAAAATGTCTAACGTGATGTTGATAGCAGAAAACATGATTTATATCATCTTTTCAGATTTTTTTATTTGAATTGGAAACAAGATTGTTTTGCATGACAATCCCAGTTCCCTTCTCCCTCCTGTCCTCCCCTACCACCACCCCCAGCTAAAATCCTACCTATCACATATCCTTTATGCTCCCCCTGGATCGTGAGGCCTTCTATAGGGTGTCATCATAGTCTATCATATCCTTTGGGATAGGGCCTAGGCCCACCCCCATGTGTGCTGGCTCAGGGAGTATTCCTCTATGTAGAATGGCCTCCCAAAGTCCACACCTATGCTAGGGATAAGTACTGAACTACTACAGGAGGTCCCGTAGATTTCCAAGGTTTCCTCACTGAAACCCATGTTCCTGGGGTCTGGATCAGTCCTATGCTGGTATCCCAGCTATCAGTCTGGGGAGCAAGAGTTCCCAGATGTTCAGGTAAGCTGTTGCTGTGGGTTTCACCAGTCTGGTCTGGACCCCTTTGTTCTTCACTCGTCCTTCTCTGCATCTGGATTCCAGTTCAGTTCAGTAATTGGTTGTGGGTGTCTGCTTCTACTTCCACCAGCTGCTGGATGAGGGCTATCGGGTGGCATATTAGTCAGTCATCAATCCCATTATCAGGGGAGGGCATTTAAGGTAGCCTCTCCTTTGTTGCTTAGATTGTTAGCTGGTGTCATCTTTGTAGATCTCCAGACATTTCCCTAGTCCTGATTTCTCTGTAAACCTGAAATTTCTCCCTTTATTATGGTATCTCCATTCTTGTATTTTCAATTCTTCGCCTGACTCAACCTTTCTGCTCCCTCATGTCCTCTATATTAAAGATCCACTTAGTCGCCAAAATACTGCACTGTGGATTATAGCTTACAGAAATGTTTTTACAACATTTCTTCATCTTTATAATCAGTCTACATCTCAGTAAGTTTAATTTTGTGCTAACTTTTCTCAGTAATAATTTAGTTCTCTTTTGTAGTAATATTTCTAGGAAAGTGAATATATAAATATGGTATATATGAGATGCTTGAATCTGTCGTTCAAGACTTATTAATGATCAACATTATCTAAAACTATAATTGTAATAAAGTTGAGAAATTTCAGAAATACATATTTTCATATATTTATGGAGTTTCTGTACTATATATGGTCAGGAAATTATTTTGCATAAGTTAACTAAGGATATTTTCATATATCTATAAATTTTTATGTAGGAAAGTTGTTGAATTATGAAAATAAATAGTAAACCTGAGGGAATGGAGAGAAGGTTGAGTGATTAAGAATGCTGACTACTCTTTCAGAGGACCTGGATTCATGTCCCGTCACCAACACGGTAGTTTGTATCAACATGTAACTCCAGTTCCAGAGATCTTTCTCATTGTTTAGCCACATATGTCTCTGTGTGCATTTGGTATACATAAACTCACCAAAGCACATACTCATACAAATAATAAAAATAAGGAGTTTTTTTAAATTTTTAAGTAAGGTATATTCAATTTCAGACACAATGGTTCCACCTGCTCCCTAATCTGGCTTTCCCAGTAATCAGTATTTACTTCTCACAGCTGAGACCTAAACTAGGTTCCTTGTATAAATATTAAACACATGGAATATGGTCTGGAAAAGCTATAAAAATGAAAGGTTTACTTCTCACAGCTGAGACCTAAACTAAATATTAAACACATGGAATATGGTCTGGAAAAGCTATAAAAATGAAAGAACCTGTGGCAGTCATTTTGAAAGTGCTATGCTTAACTCTTTGTTAGATTAGTGATTTGTTAAGAGGTGTGTGAATCTGTTATAATGCAAAATTTAATGATGTGATGTTTTGTTGCTAAAATTTGCTTTCAATTTTGGAGTAAATTTAAGTTCCTAAGGGCTTCGTAGAATAGATATAATCTGCCACACAGATTATAACTCTTGTCAAAATTTGTACACAAAATATTAAGGCATTTTCTACAAAAAGATTACAGTGACTGAAAAATGTGCTTGTGTGTAAAGCATGATGTGCTGACATATTATTTATGATTTATTAAAGCTTGCCTGAGGATTAAGAAAGAAAAGACAGCCTCAAGCTATAGATCAGGCAGTGGTTGTTCAGACCTTTAATGCCAGGACTCAGGATTAAGAGGTAGAGGGGTCTCTTCCTGAACAAAAGTGAAGACTAACAGAGCTCATGCCTTTGATCCCCGCACCAGGGATCACACGCCTTTAATCCCAGCATTAGGGAGCATCTGCTCTCTTCCACCTGCAACAAATACCCATTTTCATTCGATGATGGCTTTGCCTTCCTTTTATTCAATACCAACAATTAGGTTCTGGTGAGATTATCCACTTCTGAACATTACCATAGACGGGAGGCTTCCTTTCTAAAGCACAGTCCTTTCCTCGCCTTCTGGCTTTTCTGGAAGTCCTAGTACCAGGCGATTGTGTCTCTCCTGGGCTCAGAGAACTTTTTCCCTACCCTTTGAGTGAAGACTCAATGGGTGGCCTGTGCTTGTCTTGAAATCAGTCCTCTCTGAATTCCTGGCATGCTAAAAATTGCTTCTTACTTCTTTGACTCACTCATGGGAGCTGTGTCAGCATCTATACCTCTTTCTCCTATTGGGATGTCTTTTTTAGACCATTCCTAATCAGCTACTGTTACAGGACTACCAGATGTTGGCCATAGAGCTGGAGGCATAATAACTACCAAACATGCCCAAGTGATTCTATGGTTGTGGGAAAGGATCTGGTGGTTTAAGCCCTAGGGAGTCGATTTGGATCCAACAAGAACAGCATTTTGACAGGTCCAGGAGGCACCTGATGGTCCCACAGAGCCTGGACAGTGAAGTGAAATAGCCAGCTACTCCAAGACATGGCTGGCATCCCATCTTTCCAAGATCCCCCAAAGATGAATGGCGTCCGCTAGGTCAGCAGGAAGTAGTTTTGAGAACAGAGCATCTTTATCCCTGACTCAGCTGCTATCCCTTTCAAACACCTAATCTTTTCCTAATAAATAAAAAGGGAGGAATGTTAGTATTCAGGCATCTGTACTGGCCTGTCCTTGGGGTTCTGACAGGATACACGCTCAGCTGCTACCACTAAGAGCACCACATATACATTCACTATGTTCCCTTTTAATAGGGTGCTGCCCACCTCCCATCCTTCTCTCTCTTTTTCTCTCCCTCTCTGTTCTTCTCTCTCTCTCCCCCACTACTCTTTCCTCTCTCTTCTCCTCTCTCCCCCTTTTCCCCCTCCTTTCTCCTGATGCTCCATTCTCTAGGGTCTACACCCTCCCCTTCCCTCCTTTTTTATGATCCCTTTCATTAATAAAACACAAACAAACAAAACAAAACAACAACAACAACAAAAAGACAGGAGCAAGGTCTCAGATCTGGTATTCAGTCTCAGGATCTCAGATTTCTCCAGCCACATTGAGGAGAGTATAGCCATCTGGGATTATTGTCTGAAGTTTGGTGGAGCCGTTATCACCTTTCAGTCTGAGGTAGAGTAAGAGATAGTGGCAGGCTGCTTTGCTTTTGTGATCTTCAGTTTCAAATATCTGTCTCTGGGTTTTTTATTTTTTGTGCTACAGCATGATTAATATATTTCTCTGGTTTATAGTTATCTACCAACTTTAAGATAGTTTGCTATTTCTTGGCCTTCCCCAATGCCTTGCTAATATTGTAATAATTGACATATTGGATGATTTAGTTTAAAATTTTTAAATCTATGAATCAAAGGAGCATTTTACTTTCTATATCAGGCAATAGTGTACAGATAAAAGTGTTCAGATTGATATTTCAAACTTGTCTTATCTTCTGCTTCCTAATTATGAAACTATTAATCAATGTGTCCTTTCATTTTTTTCATATATGATTTGGTTTTACTGAAAACACAATAAATACAGAGAAATGTTAGAAAAATTTGACCCAACATTACATCATTAAGAAGTGGGAATCACCATCACTTACCTTAGGTCATATTCTAGATAATGGATACACATTTTTCCTCCCTTTTTTGGTGATATCAATAGAAGTCTTGTACAACTCACAAACAGGTGAAAATACAAGAACAACAGATAAATGCTATAATGTCTGTAAAATAATTTTAGCAAGTTAAATCTTGAACTATAACAAAATTTTGTAAATAGAAAAAAAATACAAGGTTCTAATCTGACACTGCAGGGTAGGGCTGAGAGTGTCTTCAGGAGGAGCTTTGATTTGGGCTCTGAGGAATGATGGGTTCCCTGGGCAAAAGCGTGTTGACT